GGAGTCACTCCTGGTGGTGCTCAGGGGACCATATCGGATGCTGGAAATTGCACCCAGGTTGGTCCCATGCAAGACAAGTGCTTTACCCACTGTGCTATCTTCTCTGGCCCTAGAGTATATTCTTTCAGGGTATTTTATTTTCAGATGTTTCTCAGGAGCAGGGGGAAGGAGGATGCCGGCAGAAGCAGACCTGCGGGACTGAGAGCAAACCTTCCCTTATTCTCCCCGGCTGGCGATACCAGTATTTTCCTCCAGACTGCTGGAAGCATCTCAGGTCATCCCTACTCTGTTTCCCGCTGTGTGGCTTCATTGCTGTGGCTTATTTTAGGAATAAACCACCTGGGCGCAGTGTAAGAAACTTGTGACTGCGGCAGAGAAGGTGTAGCTTGGTAGCCCAGGTTATGATTAAGGGGAATCTACATACATTATCTCATAAATGGTAATTAGGTTTTGTAGTGTCCTGCTCTTGAGTGGGGATTTGGGGGCTTTGTTTGGGGAGGAGATGGGGATGTGTGGGGTGAGGTATCATTACATACCTAAGGAACCCTTCTGGCATGCTGGAAAAGTACTGATTCTACTACACTGGCTAAGCTATCAGTCTCAGAGCCTCAATTTTCTCAATATAATGAAATAATTTCTCCTTTCGGTCATTCACATGTCGAGAAATAAATGAAATGATGTATATAATAGACATGGGGGACATATTACTTGTCTTTCTGACCACCTAGTTTCATGGGAAATATTTCAAATGTCAGGTAATCCAGTAATACAAGAACAGTGGTAGAAAAGACTTATTTTTGCCTGGCAACTTTTCACATGAACATGTATCAGCCCTGGATATATTCTGTCCTAGAGAAAGACTTTCCTGCAGATGGTTGTAAAGTCAGTATAATTACCACCAGGGGCAGGAGAGGTAGCTTAGGGGTAAGGTGCTGGAGTCAGAGAGATAGTACAGTGGGGAGGAGGGACTTTTCCTTACATGTGGCGAACCAGCGGTCAATCCCAGATGTGTCTAAACACACACGCCCCCGCCCCACATAATATTCTTTTAGAAGTTTTTATATATATATATATATAACAATATATATAACTATATGGGCTGGAGCGATAGCACAGCAGGTAGGGCGTTCGCCTTACAAGCGGCCAACATGGCCGACCCGAGTTCGATTCCTCCGCCCCTCTCGGAGAGCCCGGCAAGCTACCGAGAGTATTCGATATGCCAGACACAGTAACAACAAAGTCTCCAATGGAGACGTTACTGGGCCCGCTCGAGCAAATCGAATATTAAATGTAATCAAATATTGTAAACTACTTTATAAACCTTAAACCTTCTGGAGCGATAGCACAGCGGGTAGGGCGTTTGCCTTACAAGCAGCCAACATGGCCGACCCGAGTTCGATTCCTCCGCCCCTCTCGGAGAGCCCGGCAAGCTACCGAGAGTATTCGGTATGCCAGACACAGTAACAACAAAGTCTCCAATGGAGACGTTACTGGGCCCGCTCAAGCAAATTGACGATCAACAGGAGGGCCTTTGCCTTTATATTTATATATAATATATATATATATATATACATACACACCTATAAATGTGTGTATTGAGATGTTACCGTGGCTTGTGGTTAAAAAAAATATATTGGGGCCACAGCAGGTTAGGGGTAAGGGTGTTTGTCTTGCAGACAGTGAATGGGATTCAGTCCCCTTCACCCCATATGGTCCCCAGGCACCACCACCAGCAGTGATCCCTGAGTGCAGAGCCAGGAGTAAGCCCTGGCACAACTGATGTGGTCCAAATGCAAAATAAAACAAAGACTAAGATATGAAAAAAAAAAATCTCAAAAAATTGAGATTATCAGAGAATGCCTGAACCAGAACAATACTGGCTCGTCGTTTTCGTTCTCTTTTTTGGTTTGTTTTATGGGCCATGCCTGGCAATGCTCAGGGGTTACTCCTGGCTCTGTGCCCAAGAATCACTCCTGGCAGTGCTCAGGGGATCAACTGGGATGCTGGTGATCAAACCCGGGTCAGCTGCATCTAAGGCAAATGCCATACCTGCTGTACTATTGCCTCGGACCCCCCCCTTTTTTTTTTCACATTTTGCAAAAGAAAACTGTCAGCTTTTATCTGAGACCAGGATCCAGAGATCTTCATGTCCACGCATGAAATAACTGGGGCTCCTTATAAACATAGTCATGAAACTAGCAACACCCAGTTTCTCTGCGGTGAGCCACACCCAATTTCTCAGCAGTAAGAAAAGATGTTTCTGTTTGTTTTGGGGCCACACCCGCTGTGCTCAAGACTTACTCCTGGCTCTGTGCTCAGGCAGATGGTGGGGCTGGGGGTGGAGTGGGGACACCATATGTGGTGCCAGGGATTACGCCTGATTCAGCTGTGTGTACGACAGGCGCCTTACCAGCCGTACTCTCTGGCCTTAACAGGACATATTTTTTAAAGTCCGGCATCAAAAAATTCATGACTGCACTGACTTTGGAATCGGGTCACCTGGTTGATTCAGGTGCATTAGTTAGGTCAGTGAATCTCCCACATCTGATGTCTGGCCTCCTTTCCTCTTTGTTCTCTGAAAACTGAGAATCCCCAACACTTTTGCTTTTGTTGTATATGTTAACCTACAGCTGGTTTTTATTACTTTAAATAAACTGATACATATTTGGGGAGGGGAGTTTGTACCACACCTGGAGGTGCTAAGGGACTAACTTTCAGCTCTGTGCAGCGGGGGTCACTCGCAGCAGTGCTTGGTTGGGGACCAAAGCCAGGTACCCAGCAGGCAGAGCATGTGCACCAGTCCTTTGAGCTAATGCCCTGGCCCTGATAAGCATCACTGACTCACGATCACGATCATCCTGATCATCCTGTTGTTCGTTGATTGCCTCGAGCAGGCCCCAGTAACGTCTCCTTCGTCCTAGCCCTGAGGTTTTTTTTTTTTTTTTTTTTTTGCTTTTTGGGTCACACCCAGCGATGCTCAGGGGTTATTCCTGGCTCTGCACTCAGGAATTATTCATGGCGGTGCTTGGGGAACCATATGGGATGCCGGGGACTGAACCCAGGTCGGCCACGTGCAAGGCAAACGCCCTACCTGCTGTGCCATCACTCCGGCCCCAGCCCTGAGATTTTAAAGTAACATATTCAAGGCTCTTTCAGGGTTAGGAGAATGAGACCCATCATTGTTACTGGTATTTGGCATACTGGGTACACCACGGGGAGTTTGCCAGACTCTGCCGTGTGGGCAGGTTACATTCGGTAGCCTGCCAGGTTGTCCAAAGAATGAGATCATAAGATGTCGCGGCCACGCGCTTCCAGGAGCTGGGTTTTATAGTCATTGACTCTTCTTGTCATAATAGAATTTTTTTGGCGGGGGGATCGCACTCGGCGATGCACAGGGGTTACTCCTGGCTATGCACTCAAGAATTACTCCTGGTGGTACTCAGGGGACAATATGGGATGCTGGGAATCAAACTGGAGTTGGCTGTATGAAAGGCAAACGCCCTACCCGCTGTGCTATCACTCCAGCCCCACATCATCATAGAAATTTTTTAAAAAATTTTCAAAAATGTTAGTTCATTTAAGGGCTGAACCAATAGCACAGCGTTTGCCTTGCATGCGGCCGAACCGGGTTCGACTTTTCCACCCCTCTCGGAGAGCCCAGCAAGCTACCGAGAGTATCCTGTCCGCACGGCAAAGCCTGGCAAGCTCCCCGTGACGTGTTCGATATGCCTAAAACAGTAATGAGAAGTCTCACAATGGAGATGTTACTGGTCCCCACTTGAGCAATTGATGAACAAAGGGAGGACAGTGCTACAGTTCATTTAAAGATAGAGGAGGGAGCACCAAATAAAGGGTGTTGGGAAGATCCGCCCAGGATGGGAGATGCATGCTGAAAGTAAACTATGGACTGAACACGATTGTCACTCAATTCCTCTTTTGCAAACCACAGCACCCAAAAATAGAGAGAAAAAGGAAAAGGGAATGCCCTGCCACAGAGGCAGGGTGGGATGGGAGGGATGGGGGGGTGGGAGGGATTCTGGGATTAGTGGTGATGGAGAATGGGCACTGGTGGAGGGATGGGTACTCGATCATTGTATAACTGAAACCCAAACACAAAAATTTGTAAGTCTACAACTGTACCTCATGGTGTTGTCACTAATAAAAATTAAAATAATAATAATAATAAATGACACGTTAGCACAAATTGCATTTTGGGTGACAATTTCCAAAATAAAAGAATCCTTTGGTAAGAAGAATGACGTTGTTTTACATTTTTACAAATTTCTTTAATAGCCAGCTTGAAGAAGGCAGCTGACCTTAATCTTTTAACCTTCTGCAACTGCATATTGTTTTGGTTAAAACAATATGCAGAAAATCCAGTCCCACACATTGATATGCAAAGAGAGAGAGAGAGAGAGAGAGAGAGAGAGAGAGAGAGAGAGAGAGGCCCTTTTCAGACCTCAGCAGACCTCTCTATTGACACTACACCAAACTCAGCAGGTGACAGTTTCCTAAAGGTTAGGTGCAACTCGATAAGCTTTGTTTAGTTTTGGGGCCACACCTGGCAGTGCTCCGAGGCTCAGCCTGGTGCTGTGGCTTAATTCCTGACCTTGCACAGAGAACCAAGCAGTGCTTGAGGGAGGGCAAAAAAACTGAGGCTTCTTTAGGCAAAGCATGTATTCTCCGGCCCTAGATGCAACTTGAAAAATCTAATACCATATCAAACAACTTTTTGTGTTCTTTTAAAATGTATTATTAAATCTTGGGCTGGAGTGATAGGGCACTTGCTTTGTTCATGGTCAATCTGGGTTCGACTCCGAAGGCCTCTGTGGTTCCCCCAGCCAGCCCGGAGTGATCCCTGAGCCCGGAGCCAGGAGTAAACCCTGAACACAACTGTGTGTGACCCCTCAAAACAACAACAACAACAACAAAGATGAAGCAAAGCCTGGATGACTCCCCAACAAACCCCACAGAGGCCGGAGGAAGTAGGTAGAGCTGTTTTACTTTCCTTGGTGCCGGTTCTGTAGCCTAAGGGATATTTCATCGCCCCATAGAGCATCTGGAAAGAAGATGTAGGAGAGGGACCATACCAGGCAGTAAAAAGCAGTTAGGGAGAATGGAAACAAAAGCAGCGTGATGATTCCTGGAAGGAGGAAAAAGGCCAACAGGCAACGTTAGGACACTGTCTCAATCACCTTCTCCACCTCACCCTTCCACCCTCCAGGTTTTACTCTTGGTGCCTGAGAAGCAAAGACAAATAAGACAAGGGGCTAGAACAATAGCACAGCGGGTAGGGCGTTTGCCTTGCACGCGGCTGACCTGGGTTCGATTCCCAGCATCCCACATGGCCCCCTGAGCACCGCCAGGGGTAATTCCTGAGTGCAGAGCCAGGAGTAACCCCTGTGCATTGCCGAGTGTGACCCAAAAAGCAAAAAACAAAACAAATAAGACATGGGTTGTGCCTCAAAGAAGTGCTTCTCTCAGCCAAGTAAAGGGGCAGAGGTACTTGCATGCAGCTTAGCCTCGGTTTGGTCTCTAGCCCAAACACCATCAGGGTCTTTAGAGAGGCAAACACAGAGCCCGATGGTAGCCCCTAAGCAGGCCAAGTGGGATCCACAATGACACACCCTTCCCCCACCCTGAACTGTTTTTAGGTGTCTAGATAGTTCTATCTATCTAGATAGAACTATCTAGATAGTTCTAGATGTCTAGATAGTTCTATCTAGATAGTTCTAAATGTCTAGATAGTGTCTAGATAGTTCTAGATAGCTCTAGGGCTGGAGCGATAGCACAGCTAGGGCATTTGCCTTGCACGCAGCCAACATGGCCGACCCGAGTTCGATTCCTCCGCCCCTCTCGGAGAGCCCGGCAAGCTACCGAGAGTATTCGATATGCCAGACACAGTAACAACAAAGTCTCCGATGGAGACGTTACTGGGCCCGCTCGAGCAAATCGACGATCAACAGGAGGGCCTTTACTTTTACTTTTAGATAGTTCTAATCAAATGCAGCCCCTGATGGCATTTTTTCAAAATCAGAACAGAAACCAATCAATTGCACAGCACCCTTGTTAACAGATACATGTATTCCTTTTTATTTATTTATTTATGCTTTTTGGGTCACACCTGGTGATGCACAGGGCTTACTCCTGGTTCATGCACTCAGAAATTGCTCCTGGCGGTGCTCGGGGGACCATATTGGATGCTGGGAATTGAACCCGGGTCAGCCGCGTGCAAGGCAAACGCCCTACCCGCTGTGCTATCGCTCCAACCCCACGTGTATTCCTTATTGTTTACCAGGACCATGGCAGGGACAATCTGATTCTAAGGCGGGGGCGCCACTGGCCCTGGTTTCCAGACTGGTAGGTGAACCCCAGTGCCGCTGAGAACAGAACATTCACTCACCTCCCAAATAGACCATTTTTTTCCAGCTCTCAGACTCCAGGATTTTGTCATGTGGGTAGTAACTCTGGTCCATCATGAAGAGAATCATGAGTGAGGCCATGCAAGAGAGAATGAACGTGTTGCCTTTGGTCAGCAGGGAGGTGGAGGCCAGGACGCAGGAAGCATAGGGGCAGGGGAGGCCCCTGTAGGTGGAGGAGAGGCCTGTGTGGAAGGAAGTGACAGGTGCTTCCCACTGCTCTGACGGGACTACTGAGGCCACTCTTAGCACCCAACCTGTCTGCCTCTCCCGTTGGGCCTTCCCACCCCCGGCAACCCCCCTACTCCAAATCCCTATCCCCAGCCTGGAGAGATAGTACAGAAGGTAAGGCCGCCTTGCAAGTGGACACCCCTGGTTCGATCCTGGCACCCCATATGTCACCCACAAACCTCGGCACCACTAGAAGAGACCCCTGAGCCCTGACAGGTATAACCCCCAAACCAAGCAAAACCAAATGCCCACATCCCAAGCATGGCAGACCCTGCAGGGGTGCCCTAGACGTTTGCAGGGGAGGGCGGCCAAGGCCGAGCGAAAGGGCCCTTGGAGAGCTTCTGGTGACTCTGCGTCTGCACCCCCACTTTGTGGGGCCCTGAGGCAGGTGATGCTGTCCCCAAAGCCCGCTCTGTCCACCTGTGTGGGCAGACAGCCCCACTTCTTACTCCAGCCACATGGGAGGGGGAGGCACTGGGGCCTGGGACCCAACCTGTCCCCAGCCATGTTGCTCGTTGGTGCCCAGTTGGCATGGGTTGGGAAGGAAGGAGGAGCCCCCATGGCCGCCACCCACCTGGGCCTACCTGGGTTCCTCTCACTGGCTGAATAAAAGCACAAGCGGAATGTGGTTGCAAGTACGTAGATGGTGCTGAGGAAGCTGTTGAGAGGTCCGGTCACGCCGAGGAGCAGGGCGGAGGCCAGGCCGAAGGTGGTGAAGATGGCAAAGTCATTCAGCTCCAAAACTGCGTTGGAGGGTCATGGTCAGAAGGCCTGACACCCCCCAGGTAGCCACCCTGTCCCCTCTGAGGGGGTGGGGGGGGGGGCTGGTGACCAGCAGGGTGCCGAAGTCCTGGACGGCAACAGCCCCACAGCCCAGGTCTCCTCGTAGCCACGTGTGGGCTACAGGGACCCCAAATGGGAAAAGCCACCAAATTCCCTTTTCATTAAAATGCTTTTTGTTGTTCTTTTGATTTGGGGAGGTGGAGGGCTGGACCACACCCAACAGCGCTGAGGAACTACTCTGGGCTCTGTGTCAACGCAGGCATGACCCCAGCAGTGCGTGGGGGAGCATTTGTGGTGCCAGGGATTCAAACCAGGGGCAGCAGGATGCAAGTCCCCTGGCTGGACTCTCTCTTGGGCCCCTCCGGTGGAATCATACGTGGAAACGTCTGATCTGGTTTCAGGGCAGCTGATGTTTGAAGTCAGTTTTTATTCCCCACTTCCCACCGCCTCCCCCACCCATCAGAGCCACCTCTCCAGGACCTGGAGCAGTTGGTGAGCCCCAGAGGGCCTGCCCGGAGACCAGGGGGTTCCCCAACCCCAGCGCTCGGGCTGCTTCTGTTACCCGACAGGGATGTGCTTGCTTGGTTTGGGGGTGGTGTCGGGGATCGAATCCTCACTCATGCCAGGCCAGCCCTCTGGGCTGAGCCAGCTCTGAGCCCCTCGCAGGGTGTGACTGCTGAGGCCTGTGGGATGGCAGAGGACAGAGGTGGCGCCCTGGCACCGGGAGCGGGGGCCTGGACTCACCCGCTTTGGAGCAGACACTGAGGTGTCTGGTGATGGTCCCAACTGCCATGTCTAAGAGGAAGCTGCTGAGAAGCATCCAGCAAGCACCGCAGGGCTTCCTAAAGGGCGGGCGGACACGATGGCTCCTGCGGGGCCCCCAGAGCCAGCACCACCCCCAGTCTGTCGCCCCCTACTCCCGATTTCAGGGGTGCCCTGCATGATCCCAAACCCATAGTGGGCCTGGGTGCAGAGTTCCAGTCCCACCTCTGTTATCCATCCACCTTCCCAGCCTCCCTCCCTGCCCTCCCTCCCGCCCTCCCTCCCTCTCTCCCTCCACTCTCTCTCTTCCTCCTGCTCTCCCTCTCTCCTGACCTCTCACTCTTCCCTTCTTTCCATCCCTCCCTCCCTGCCACCCTCCCTCCCTCCCTCCTTCCCTCCCTCTTCAGCTCTGCCCATCCCTGTCTTCCATTCCTCCATCTGCGAAATGATGTGTGTGTGCTAAAAAAAAAATTCTGCTTATAGGGCTGGAGCGATAGCACAGCGGGTAGGGCGTTTGCCTTGCACGTGGCCCGACCGGGGTTCAATTCCCAGCATCCCCTATGGTCCCCCGAGAACGGCCAGAAGTAATTCCTGAGTGCATGAAACAGGAGTAACCCCTGTGCATCACTGAGTGTGACCCAAAAAGCAAAAAAATAAATAAATAAAAATTCTGTTTATGGGGGCCAGAGTGATAGTACAGCAGGTAGGGAGCTTGCCTTGCATGCAGCCGACCGGGGTTCAATCTCCAGCATCCTAGATAGGTTCTCTGAGCACCACCAGGAGTGATTCCAGGGGTCAGAGTGCAGAGTGAGACCTGAGCACTGCCTCAAAACAAACAAAAATCTGCTTATAGGCACAGATCAGACCACCCATGTCTCCGAGCGGGAGTTTTGGCAGTCATATCTTTAAAAGAAATCGGCGCCCGTCAACTGTGCTATCAGAGGTGTCAGAATGGAGGTGTTCTTAATTGATCCTTTAACAAAGTCCACAGGATCAGACCTGGGGGGCCTCCTCTTCATTCAGGATGGTGATGATCTGAGCTGTGTTTTCTTTTATTTTGGCCAGCCTGGCTAGAGGCTTATCATTTTTAATGATCTTTTTGAAGAAGCAGTTTTGGCCTCCTTAATTTTATCTATTGATTTCTTATTTTCAGTTTCACTGATGGCTGCTGTCATCTGGGAGGAGAGGAAACCAGGGGCCACATCTGGTGGTGCTCATGGGCTATTCCTGGCTCAGTGCTGAGCGGTCACTTCTGGCAGGACTCAGTATGATCTACTTGGAGAAGCAAGGGAGTTGGGATCCACCCACCAGTGATCAGGACTTACTCCTGGCTCTGTCATTTGGAATCACTCCTGGTGGTGCTTGGGGAACCATACCAGATGCTAGAGATAGAACCCAGGTCAGCCGCATGCAAGGCAAATGTCCTGCTGGCTCTATTATCTCTCCAGTCCAGATCTATTTTTTAATTGAGTTGTTCCTTTTATTCTTGTTAAATGTCACACCTAGCAGTGCTCAGAGATTACTACTGGCAATGTTCAATGGACTATATGTGGTACTATGGTTTTGTTTTGTTTTTTAGATTTTTATTAGTGAAACACCATGAGGTACAGTTTAGATTTACAAATTTTTGTTGCTATGGTTTTGAACCTGGGTCAGTGAATGCAAGGCAAGTGCTAAACACCTGTACTATCTCTGCAGGCCCACTATTTTCTTTTCTGTTTGTTGTGGGGGGTCCGTGCCCGGTGATGCACAGGGCTTACTCCTGGCTCTGCACTCAGGGAGCTCACTCCTGGCAGGCTCAGAAGACCATCTGGGGTGTTGGAGATTGAACCCAGGTCAGTCGTATGCACAGATAGAGCCCTGCCCATTGTACTATTACTCTGCCTCCCAGTGCCCTATTTTCTTGTCGAGTTTGGTTTTATATATAAATATTCTTTGGGTTTGGTGATGCTCAGGGGTTACTCCTGGTTCTGCACCCAGGAGTTACTCCTGCAGTGCACGGGGGCCTTTATGGGATGCCAGGGATTGAACCTGGGTCAACTGCATGCAAGGCAAACATCCTACTTGCTATACTATTACTCTGGTCCGGTCTTGTATATTTTGAATTCGAGTCTTACAATATCTCTTGTGAATACTGTCTGCCAGTGACTTGTCTTTTTGGTGTCCTCTTGATGTTGTCTTTTGCAGAGTATCTTTCTTTGCGATATATAGATCTGAGGCTGTAACTCTCCTACGTGTCATTCTCAGTAGTTTTTCCTAAGATGACATTTTTGTTTTATTTTGTTTGGAGTCATAGCCACAGTGCTCAGGGACTAATCCCAACCCGGTACTTAGGGGTCATACCCTATTGTACTTGGGGACCTTGTAGTGCTGGGGATCAAAGCCCAGGTCTCCTTCACGCAAAGCATCGTGCCTGTGTTTGATCTGTTGAGCTTTCTCTCTGGCCTACTGTTGTTGGCATTTTACTGGGGGACAGGATAAGGTGGGGCTGGGGTTTTTTCAGCCACATCTGACAATGCATGCGGACTCTGGGACTATCCCTGGCTCCGTGCTCAGGACTGCATTAGGCACTGTTTGCGGGGACTCTATGCATGTGATTACAGGGATCAAACAGAGGTGGCCACGATCACGACCATCCTGTTATTCATCGATTGTCTCGAGCAGGCCCCAGTAACGTCTCCTTCGTCCTAGCCCTGAGACTTTTAAAAAGAGTGCCATATTCAAGGCTCTTTCAGAATTAGGAGAATGAGACCCTTCATTGTTACTGGTATTTGGCATATTGGGGACGCCACGGGGAGTTTGCCAGACTCTACCGTGTGGGCAGGTTACATTCGGTAGCCTGCCAGTTTGTCCAAAGTAGGAATGAGATAATAAAATGTCTCACGGCCGCAAATACGGCCGCGCACTTCCGTTTCCAGGAGCTGGGTTTTATAGTCTCTGGGTCTTGGCCGTTGATGGGATTACACGGCGCCAGGGGGCCAGTTGGTGGGTGTGACCCCTGCCTACTGGAATATGGAGGATCTGGGTGGAGGATGCTCAGCCCTGATCCGAGCAGGCCTGGAGATCTCAGCCCCGGGACCCGCATGCCTCTGCTCCTCTACCAGTACTTTCATGCGTGTGGAGAGTGATCTCAGCACTCATGCAAGGCAAAGGCCTTACGCCTGTAGTTTCTTTCTGCATTCCCCTCACCTCTTGGAAGGCAGTCATCAGTCTCAGATCAGTTCTCCCTGAGAGCACACTCACAGGCCTATTCCTTGATTACAGTGTTTTGTTTTGGGGCCCCACCCAGCAACACTCAGGGGCTGCTCCTGGCTCTGCACTCAGGACTTATTCCTGGTGGTGCTGGGGGATGGAATGCTGAGGATTAAACCCAGGCAGGCCACGTGCACAGGCCACAGGCCACAGGCCGCTATACTATCTCTCAAGTCCCACCGATTGCGATTCTTGAGCAGCTGAGTAGATCCAAAGCCTGACCTTAAACCTCAGTCGTTTCCAAATAGCCCCAACATCTACTTTGTTTAGGTCCATACCTGTGTCTAAAGGTTGCTGAGGCTAAATAAAAATGCTAGGCACATGGGGCTGGAGCGATAGCACAGCGGGCAGGGCGTTTGCCTTGCACGCGGCCGACCCAGGTTCGATTCCCAGCATCCCATATGGTCCTGTGAGCACCGCCAGGAGTTAATTCCTGAGTGCATGAGCCAGGAGTAACCCCTGAGCATCGCCGGGTGTGACCCAAAAAGCAAAAAAAAAAAAAAAAAGAGTATCTCACTGGGGCGATAGCACAGCAGGCAGGGCATTTGCCTTGCATGTGGCCGACCCGGGTTCGATTCCCAGCATCCCATAGGGTCCCCCGAGTACCGCCAGGAGTAATCCCTGAGTGTAGAACCAGGAGGAACCCCTGAGCATCACTGGGTGTGACCCAAAAAAGAAAAAAAAGAATATCACAGAATTTTGTGGTTTTTTCTTCCTTTTTGTTTTTGTTTTTGGGCTGCACTCTGCAATGCTCAGGGCTTACTCCTGGCTTTACACTCAAGAATCATTCCTGGCAGTACTCAGGAGACCATATGGGATGCCAGGGATTGAACGCTTGTTGGCCCTGTGCAAGCCAAGCGCCCTACCAGCTGTCCTATCTCTCCAGCCCAGAATGTCACAAAATTTTCAAACAGAAATACTGAAACCACATCAGGTAAAAATCATCTTATGGGTGAGAAAGAGATCCAGAGACTTCATTTGCTGATGGTTATAATAAAACAGATAAAGATGATGTTCATTGCAGGGCTGGGTAGAGAGTACAGGGGTTACAATGCTTCCCTTGCCTGCAGCTGCCATCAGCACAGCAAGAGTCCTCCCCACAGCTGGGAGCAATCCCCAAGCAAAGAGCCAGGACCAGCCCCAAGTGCCACCTATGTGGCCCAACACACTCCCCCAAAGAAGTTATTTGCATTATAAAGGATTTATCCTTTATAGATTATCCTTATCCTTTATATTATCCTTATTTCATTTCTCTCTCTCTTTTTTTTTTTTTTTTTGCTTTTTGGGTCATGCCCGGCGATGCTCAGGGGTTACTCCTGGCTCATGTACTCAGTAATTGCTCCTGGCAGTACTCGGGGGACCATATGGGATGCTGGGAATCGAACCTGTGTTGGCCGTGTTGGCTGCGTGCAAGGCAAACGCCCTACCCCCTGTGCTATGGCTCCAGCTCCTCATTTCTCTATTTTTATTGTGAATGCAGGGACCCATTCATGCAAGGCAAATGCCCCATGGCTGAGCCCCACGGCCCACTCCTGTTTTATTTATTTATTTATTTATTTATTGCTTTTTGGGTCATACCTGGCGATGTACAGGGGTTACTCCTGGCTCATGCACTCAGGAATCACTCCTGGTGGTGCTCGGGGGACCATATGGGATGCTGGGAATCGAACCTGTGTTGGCCATGTTGGCTGCGTGCAAGGCAAACGCCCTACCCGCTGTGCTATCGCTCCAGCCCCCTCCTGTTTTATTTTTATTCCCCATTTGCTTCATTATTGTCACCATTGTTACAAAGCCCAGGGGTGGCACACACTTGACTGTGGTGCAACCCCTCTAGCTGTGGTGCTCACTGAGTGTTGTCCACCAAGGGGCTGTACTTGTACGCGCAGCCACAATGCTCACACGCCTGGCCACAGTGCTCTACAAGGTGGCCCTCCTGAAGTTGTGGAGCTCCCACACACACTCGCTACAAGCTGAACTCCTTAGCTATGTCATCTGCGCTGCACCCTGAGATGCCCAGGGAACTGTGTGGTGCCAGGAATCAAAGTAGTGTTGGCCACAGGCAAGGAAAGTGCCTTCACCCTTGTACTATCTCTCCAGTCTGTCTCCTGTCTGCCCTGTTTAATTTGTTTCCTTTTTTTTTTTTTAGATTTTTTTGGGGGTCACACCCGGCAATGCACAGGGTAACTCCTGGGTCATGCACTGAGGAATTACTCCTGGAGGTGCTCAGGGGACCATATGGGATACTGGGAATCAAACCCAGGTCAGCCGCGTACAAGACAAATGCCCTACCCACTATGCTATCGCCTCAGCCCGAGCCCTGTTTAATTTTTAATTAAAAAATATTTGGCAGTTGTGGGGACAGATAGTACAACTGGTAGGGCATTGCCCGTCAACCCAGATTCAATCCCAAGCATCATATATGGTCCCCCAAGCACCACTAGGAGTAATTCCTGAGTACAGAGCCAGGAGTAACCCCTGAGCATTGCTGAATATGGCAAAAAGCCCCAAAAATATTTTCTGGGGATGGGAGAGACAGCACAGTGGGCAAGGTGCTTGCTTTGCATGTAGCTAACTGGGTTCGCTCCCCAGCACCCTAATATGCCTCCCCCCACCCCGAGTCCCATCAGGAGTGATCCCTGAGCACTGCCCTTTCTCCTGGCCTGACTCCTCCCTGCACGTCTGTGTCCGGCTGTCTGCCCTCCTGGCTCCGCTCATACCACTGGCTCCAGCTCTGAGCTAAGAGCCTGCTGGGTCCCGGACCTACTGGCAAAAGCTGCAGAAGATGGAGAAGAGCCCCAAGATCATGTTGGCCAGAGACAGTGCAGTGGCGAAATCCTTCATCTGGTAGCAGCTCTGGGATTTGGTCTGGAAGAAACCGCCACACTGACTTGGGGCCTGGAGGAGAGGGATGAGCATTCGGAAGTCAAAAAGTCTTGGAAGGGGGCTGGAGAGATAGCACAGCGGGGAGGGCGTTTGCCTTGCACGCGGCCGACCCGGGTTCGATTCCCAGCATCCCATATGGTCCCCTGAGCACCGCCAGGAGTAACTCCTGAGTGTAGAGCCAGGAGTAACCCCTTGCATCGCCAGGTGTGATTCCCCCCCCCCCCAAAAATAAAGTCTTGGAAGAGGGGCCAGAGAGATGGGACAGCAGGTAGGGTATTTACCCTGCACACAGCTGAACCAGGTGTGATCCCTGACACCCCATAAGGTCTTCAGCATCAACACAGTGATCCCTGAGTGCCAAGCACTGATCCCTGAGTGCTGCTGGGTGTGCCTCCACCCCAGTAAATCCCAGAAGAGGCTTCCAGGCAGCAGGAAGCTGCGGTTCCCCTTGTCCTCACTCCAGAATGCACCTCCCACGCCACGCCTCTGCTGGTCTAGAGGCCTGGAAGAGGTGGGAGGGACAGGTGAAGACAAAGATGCAGAAGACAATGGCAAACTCAGAAGTCTCCACTCCCTGACTGCACCCTGAGCCCGAGCCCTCGGTCTGTGTTGTGAGGACCTCCCTCCAGCCCGATCAAATCCAAGACCCCCCCCCCCCCCCCCCACACACACACACACACTCTTGAGAGATGAGCTTTCGGACACAGAGCAGTCCCCCTTTAAAAAAATTTCCAGGGATTGGAGCCATCACACAGTAGATAGAGCATTTGCCTTGCATGCAGTGGACACAGGTTCAATTCCCAGCATCCTATATGGTCATCTGAGCACTACCAGGAGTAATTCCTGAGTGCAGAACCAGGAGTAACCCCTGTGCATCGCCAGGTGTGACACAAAAAGCAAAAAAAAAAAAAATTCAAGCTATTTAAAATACTTTGGGGTACACCCCATGAATAAAAAACACTGGGCAGCGGTCAGCCCCAGCCCCAGGGTGGCACGGAGGACCCGGTGTGGCACAGGCACTGCTGCCGTGAAGAAAGTGTGTCGGGGATCCCTTGGTACAATGCGTTCGGTGGCCAAGAATTGCCTCCCCAGCAGAGGAAGAAAGAGACGGGGACCACTGACCGACGGTCAATGGCCAGTTTATTCAGAACCAAACAGATTACAGAAAATCTGAGGGGCTTTGAGGTACAGAACTGCACATAGGTGTGATTTATCATCTAAGGGGTAAAGTGTTTCCTCGGAGATTATTCTTTTGGGTGGATTAATTCAAGGAGACGCTCTGTCTAGAGGCTTTTCTGAGAAACCTGCCCAGGGCGACATTCCATCTATATTGCTTTTTTTTTTTTTCTCCTTTCCCTTGCTGCTAGTACATATTAGACCATTAAGTTTACTTATTAATATTTGCAGTTCTTTGGATAAGCACAGTAAGTAATATAGGTTCCCAAACTTAGTTGTCTGGGCTCCAGGAGCAAGGGTTAAAAGCTAGCTGGACTGTCACTGTGAATCCCAGACTAAGTCCTCAGGCAAATTTTGCTTTTCCTACTCCATGGGGTTCTGTAGGTCATTACGACTTGTATCACAATGTGACTCATGATTTCTAGACTGTCCCACATCAAAGCCAGGGTAGTTTTACTGATGGCCTTGGTGATCCCTTGGTGAGACCCAGATTTTTTTGGGTGTCAGGAACTATGGCAACTAAAGCCTAAGTCAAGTAATCATGATGGATGCCCAGGAGGAGATATATTTCAGAGTCAATTAACTCCCAGATACTAGGAGCATGGCATTAATGGTCTTACTGTGTTTAAGCAAAGAGCATTGTTCTACATCTAAGTAACACTGTCCTCCTGTTGTTCATTGATTTGCTTGAGTGGGCCCAGTAACGTCTCCATTGTTTTTTTGGTTTTTTTTGCTTTTTTGGGTCACACCCGGCGATGCACAGGGGTTATTCCTGGCTCTGCACTCAGGAGACACTCCTGGCGGTGCTCAGGGGACCATATGGGATGCTGGGAACCGAACCTGGGTCGGCCGTGTGCAAGGCAAACGCCCTACCCGCTGTGCTATAGCTCCAGCCCCTAAAGTCTCCATTTTTGAGACTTTGTTGTTACTGTGTTTGGCATATTGAATACGTCACGGGGAGCTTGCCAGGCTTTCCCGTGTGGGCCAGATACTCTCGGTAGCTTGACGGGCTTTCCGAGAGGGGTGGAGGAATCGAACCCGGCTCGGCCGGGCTGGCTGTGCACAAGGCAAACGCCTTACCACTGTGCTATCGCTCCAGCCCGTTCTACAGTAAAATATGAAGAAGTTATAGGGGAAAGAGAAAAGCAAAAAACAGACACACAACAAATAACAAACAAGAGATTCACTACCGATACAAGGTCCAGAGCCACCAGAAGGTTTGACTTTATAAGTAACCAAGGCTGGGGAATTTAGCAGCTAACAGAATGAGAGGTAATGCACAAAGAAAAGGTTAAGGATAAATTTGGGGAGGGGGGAGATTAGGAATGCTTGTAAGAGCACTGTAAGCTTCTCTGTGGGGGGGAGGGACAGGGGTGATTTACGGCTGAAGCCTAAAACACTTGAGGTTAATATCCATCAATGGCCCCTCAGGATGGGACCTCCCCCAAGGAGCCCCCACATCCTGGCTCTGAGCCCCCCTACCCTGTGAAGAGTAGTAGGTCCAGGTCCACCAGGAGGAAAGTCGCAAGCGAACAGGCACCCCACCGACCAGCTCACAGTCACCTCTTCTGTCCCTCTCCTGACCCCGTGAATGAGGACAAGAGCCTCTACCCACCAGAACACCTTGCAGCAGGAGACCTGCAGGGTGCAGGTAGTGGAGCGGGGGAAGTTCATTCCCGGGACACTAAGGTCCCTCCTTCCCCCCAGACAGTCCTGTCCTTCCACACTAACAGCCCAAAGAGTCCGTTTCCTTTGGAGGAGCCCCGGTGTCCCCGCCCCGAGAACGCCCCCCCCCCCCACGGTTGGTAGAAATCTCTGAAATCTCTGCAGACAGAGGCCGGGCGCAGAGCAAAGGAGAAAAGTTTCTGCTCTGCTGGTCCTTCCCTGCCCCTCCTCAGAGACATAGGCTGAAGCTGTCCTGCACAACCCCTCTGGACAGGCTCGGGCCTGTTCGTTTTGGGCAAAGCTGAGACTAATAAATCACACTCCATCCCCACAATCCCTGGCACCAAGATGCCAGAGGCTGGACGGGAGGGGGTGGAATTGGAGGGGATGTGACTAGGGTTTGGGGCCGGGAGGGCAGTAGGGTGACATGGGGAGCTCAATCCTTTGCCAAAGAGTTCAGTAGCCATATCCCCAAAGCCAGGACTCCTGACCCCTCATGGCCCAGTGCTGTAAGGCCCGAGACAGGAAGCAATGAGAGTACTGCAGGGGAGAGGTCTACAGCCCACTCCCTCCCTGCCCCTACCCTCTCTCCCCTTCTCCCGGCCTCTAGGGTTGCAGGGCTGCTCTGGGCCAGCCCAGTTTGCCTGAAGAGCCGCCCGCACCTCTGGCTCCCAGCAGCAGATGCTCATGCCAAACTCTGCACGCCAAACACTGTTTTTCACAGTCAACTAAAAATTAACCAGCAATTGCCTATTTTCTCTTGGATTCACGAAGGACTTAAACACCTTCTCCAGGGCTCCTCCCCCTCCACTACCAACCAACAGGACCGATCCCGGATTCATGATAAACTCAGAACTCTTTTTTGCTTTTTGGGTCACACCTGGCGATGCACAGGGGTTCCTCCTGGCTCTGCACTCAGGAGTTACTCCTGGCGGTGCTCGGGGGACCCTATGGGATGCTGGGAATCGAACCCCCGTCGGCCGCGTGCAAGGCAAACGCCCTACCCGCTGTGCTATCGCTCCAGCCCCCAAACTCGGAACTCTTATGAGTGCATCCTCTTCAGGAAGACAAGATGCCTGAGCGTCCGCAGACACTCTTCCTGCTTCTGTGACACCTCATCCCGCACACGAGGAAACGGGCTTCAGGGTGGACACGCAGATGCTCCAGGAAATGGAGTCAAGATTTGAGTGAGGCCTTTTCCAACTAATGGTAACTTGATGCTTAATACATAGGTCTCCGGTGTGAGAGGAGGCAAACCCGAGAGAAAGGCTTGTGGGGACCTGGATTGAGAAGGAACAACCCCACCCCGAAACCCCTCCCCACTCCCCAACAAAAGAACTGGTTGAAGAAATAGTCCAGTAGGTAAGGAAGGCGCTTGCCCTGCATGCAGCAGACCAGGGTTCAATCCTTGGCACCCCGTGTGATTTCGCGTCTGCCTTCTGTAAGCCCTAAACACAGTTGGGACTGGCCCCAAGCATCACCACCCCCTCCCTGGCCAAAAAAATAAAAGGAGGGGCCAGAGAGATGGTAGAGGGTAGGGCGCTTGCACTCAGACGACCCAGGTTCCATCCCAGGCACCCCATATGGTCCCCCAAGCACCGCCAGGAGTAATTCCTGAGTGCATAACTGGAGTAACCCCTAGATCACTGGGTGTGACCCAAAACAAAAAAACAAAAGAACCACCCAGGTGCCAGAGGGCTACGCAGGGTTAAGGCAATTAACTGCCTTGCCCACAGCCAAAGCTGGTTCGATCCCAGGCACTGCATATGGTCCCCAGAGCACCTCTGATGGCAGAGCCAGGAGTAAACTCTGAGCGCTGCCAGGTGTAGCTCAAAAACAAATTTTGAAAAAGGAACGATCTATTCTGCAGACATTTGGTCATAAAGCAAGATCCACTGTCAGTGCTCAGGACACAAAGATACAGGCCTTAGTCTCATCTCCGGACCGGAAGGGGTATTTAAGTCTGCAGAGAAAGATTGTGGGGAGCATTGGGGAGGGAGGGGTTCAGCCCCTGGCGAGGGCTCCCTGCCAGAGGCAAGAGGGCGGTGGGGGCCCTGCAGACCCAGACGCGCAGCCCTCCCAAGCCTCGTGCTGGGCCAGAACCCGCCAAGGCCCCTTTCCGGCCGCCTCTCCCGGCAGCTCCGGGCCCCTCCCCGGCTGCACTGGACAGCGGAGACTGCTGGAGGTCACCCCCCTCGGCTTCCCCGGGGTCTCTCGCCACACCCAGCAGCCTCTCCACCCCTCGGCACGGCCCCGGGTTCGATCCTCGGCCCCCCACACGGTCCCCTGAGCATCACCAGCAGGGATCCTTGGCCGCAGAGCCGGGGGCAAGCCCCGAGCACGGGGGGTGGGCCAGAGAGAAAACCAAAACAGAAGCCCCCCTAACCCCCCACTCTGAGTCTGGAACGAGCCCCGACGCGCGGGGGGGGGGGGTCCAGCCGGGAGCACTGCGCAGGTGCAGGGCGCGGGGCGGGGTCCCCTGCAGACGCGCCCCCCGGACCAGGCGCCCCCCGGGCCGGGGCGCAGGCTCACCTGGCGATGGGCCATTCTTAGATGGAAGGGGGACGGCAGGCTGCCCCGATTCCTGCGTGGTGGAGGGGGTCCAGCCCGGATGAGGGGCGGCCGCGCGGCTCCCGAGCCCCGTGCTCCGCGCGCTTAGCTCACAATCCCCCCGGGCAGGGGAGGGGCTGCACAGGCCGGGCAGTGGGCGCAGCTGCCCCAAGGGTGGCATCCAGGAGGGGCCGGAGAGGTCGGCGGAAAGGGCACTTTGCTGCACTCTGCCGACCCGGGTTCGAGCCTGGCACCCCACCTGGTTCCCCCGAGACCCACCAGGAGGGACCCCTGAGCACCGTCGGGGGTGCCCCCTCCAACCTCCTTCCCACCCCCCTCCCCCGCAAATGGCACGTGGGATGGAGGAACAGAGGAAAAGCCAGACTTGGGAGGGGTGAGAGAGACCCGAGAGTGTGGTCAGTGGTCAGTGGGCCTTAGCCGGGATGCAGGCAGAGAAGCGCTCCCGGAGGGTGCGGAGGGTGCGGGCAGGTGCGGGCAGGTGCGGCCAGTGTTTCCTGTCCCCACCCTCCCTCTCCTCCGGTGTTTGCTGCATGACTGACGATCCAAGCCGGATTCCCTATTGAAGGGACTAGGTTGTGAGTAGCGTGAAGAGATGGTGCGTGTAGAGTTTCTGGCAGACGGTTCCAACCTACTGCGGGGGCACGAGGCGGCACATTCCGGAGGACAGAAGGATGATCCGGTCACTCTGGAGGTGGAGGGAACGGGAAGTAGCTGGACTTAGAGCCATTGTGGGGCGGAATCCCAAGGGCGTGGGCGAGGAACCCAAGAGTGGGCAGTAGCCTTCCAGGGGGTCTAGGTGGACAGGCCACTGCAGAAAGAAGGAGATTAGTGTTGGGTGGGGTCCCAGGCACCATCCAAACACCTGCCTTCATCCTCCAACCTGCCTGGTGCTCACAGAGTTTGCAGGAGCCCACCGGATACTATACAGGGGGATGGTGCAGGACCCAGGGGCCAGCCGGGAGACAGGTCCTGGGAAGGCGCAGCTGTGCTCCCTGGTTTCCATCACCCACGACCCCACCTCTTCCCGGGCAAGCACCATCTACTCTCTCCAGCCCCTCCTTTCGTGCTTTTTGGTTTCTGACCCACATCCATGGGTGCTCAAGGCTTTCTCCTGGCTCTGTGCTCAGTATTCACTCCTGGCAGGGATTAAGCCCCATATTGGGGGCCGGTGAACTAGCACACAGCAGGTAGGGTACTTGCCTTGGACGTGGCTGACCGGAGTGACCTCTGAGCCCAGAGTCAGGAATAAGCCCTGAGCACCACCAGGTGGGACCCAAAAACCAAAATAACAAAACCCCCCAGGTAGGGACGTATGCGCGGGAAGTGCCTTCCCCTCAGTACTATCACTCCTGTCCCTCCTGGTCACCCCTGTTGAATGAAACTTAGGCTTGAAACACAAACAGCTCAGGGGTTCGAAGAGTCTCAGGAAGACAGCTTTAAGCCAGCAAGGTAGGACAGGGTGCACCCATATGGTCCCTGAGCCTGCCAGGAGTAAACCCTGAGTGCAGAGCGAGAGGTAAGCCAGGAGCACAGCTGGGTCTGGACTAACAAAACAAGAAGAAAGTCAGCAGGGCAGTAGAAGGTCTGTGATAGGAGAGAAGAATTTGCTGGGATGATAAGGCAGAAATTTATTTATTTTTAATTTTTATTAGTGAAACACCATGAGGTACAGTTGTAGACTTACAAACTTTTGTGCTTGGGTTTCAGTTATACAATGATCGAGTACCCATCCCTCCACCAGTGCCCATTCCCCACCACCAATGATCCCAGTATCCCTCCCACCCCCCCATCCCTCCCATCCCACCCCGCCTCTGTGGCAGGGCATTCCCTTTTCCTTTTTCTCTCTATTTTTGGGTGCTGTGGTTTACAAAAGAGGCATTGAGTGGCAATCATGTTCGGTCTGTAGTCTACTTTCAGCATGCCTCTCCCATCCTGAGAGGATCCTCCCAACACCCTTTATTTGGTGCTCCCTTCTCTATCTGAGCCGATAAGGCAGAAATTTAAATGCGTGGCAACAAAGTGTGGTGCCCAGGGTCAAGATCTCGACCAGGGCTCCAAGACACTTCTCCCACCAGCTCCAGCCCCTCTGAGCCGTGAATTTAACCATCGCTGAGAAAGGGGTGACTCAGATGATGGCTGAACCCAGATTTTAGGCTCCGGAATAGACAACTTCCAAGAGCTGGGAGCCCCTAGTCGGCATTTCAGACTGCCTGGCCGAGTTACAAGAGGGAGGCTCTGCTCTGGCCGTTCTCCACGGGTCTGCCTAGGCACGCACCTCTCCATTGGGGCTGTGGATCTGAAACAGCTGCCCAGCGACCCTTCCTCGAGCACTGTTCCAAGAGCTCCTGCCGCAGAGCTGGATCCGTGGGCTCCTGAGGTTGTGGTGGGGCAGCCTCTGGAAATATCCCTCAGAAGGGCCAGGTTTCCTGGTACTCATTATCAGCGACAGAACAGAGGGTCTTTGGTCTTTGACCCCCTTTCTTCCGATGGCCACAGGTCTGACTGGGTCATGCGCACCGTGGAACCATTTTCTAGTCACTTTCCTCCACCTGGCTCAAGGGGAATCAGAGCCAAACGCTGATTCACAGAGGTCCCCTGCTCTGGGTGGGGGTGCTACAGCTGTGTCCCCCCCCGCTGTAGGGAAGGACGCAGGCGCACATGAAGGGTCCTCGGTGCATCTCCACCAAGCCTGTTATCCAGACCCCTCCCTGGACTGTGTGGAGTGGAAGTTCACCCTCCTGGGCCAGTGATGCTGCCTGTGGGAACCTCACGTCTACTCAGCCATCCAGATTCTGGAAGCCTTCCCCTCGCCCACTCGCACCCCCGGGCTGAGGCGGCTCCTCTGAGGACAACCATTTCAGGTGGTGCTCAGCAAGAGTGGTCAGTCTGCCCAGGGACACAGTTCTTCCCTGGCCAACAGAATGCCCGCTGAGCTCTGAATGACAGAAGGCCCAGGTCAAGCCCTCTGTTACTCACGACGCTGAATGTGTTGCCCATTGCACAAAGGCAGCCTGACAAGGAAGGAGCTCTCCACAGAGGAGGGTACCTCAGGAAATACCCACGGGAGAGGCAGAGCCTCTAGCTTAAAAAGCTTCCCATAGGGACCGCATAGTACAGCGGGGAGGGCGCTTGCCTTGCCAGGTTTGATCTTTGCCATCCCATAGGGTCCCACCAAGAGCGATTCCTGGATGCAGAGCCAGGAGTCAGCCCTGAGCACAGCCAGGTTTGGCGCCCAAACCAAAACAACAAAAGCTTCAGGAAGAACGCATGTTTTCCCTATGGGAGCCCCCAGTTCAATCCCAAGCACCTCACGGTTCCCTGAGCATCACCAGGAATGGTCTCTGTCTGGACCAGAGCACCTGAGCACTGCCAGATGAGTTTCCAAAACAACAAAACAACAGAAGTCTCCCAGTCTGTGAAAAACAAGTTTTTTTTTTGGAGGCGGGGTGGTGATGTGTGTGTGTGTGTGTGTGTGTGTGTGTGTGTGTGTGTGTGGAGAGACACACACCTGGCAATGTTTGGGGCCATATGGGATGCCGGGGATCAAACCTGGATTAGACACGTGGGAGGCAGGTGCCCTCCCTGCTGTACTGTGGATCCAGACCATGGGTTTTGAAGGGGTGTGCAGACATGGAGTAAGAGGTCCTTGAGTTCCCTGGAAAGCAACTTTCTTGCCAGTATCACTGACCGGCTCCTCTGCTTTCCCCCAGGCACTTGCATAAGGTCTGAATTTGGAACTGAAATTATCTTTCTAAATTCCAAGAAAGAAGTCTTCAGAAGAGGATGTCCTTGAACCTGCACCAGGCCGTTCTTTTAGCTGAGGGGCTCTCTGCGCCCTCTAGAGGTGAGTGATAACATAGTTTTGCTATTGGCACAATTTAAAGTGAACTAAGGGAATCTCTAATTCTTACTCTTCCCTTAGCAATACTTCTTTTTTTTTTTTTTTTTTTTTTTTTGCTTTTTGCTTTTTGGGTCACACCCGGCAATACACAGCGGGGTTGGTGCAACATTACAGCTGTTAGAGTTTGATCCCCATCACCCTAAATGGTCAGGAGGGCTCCCTAAGCTCAGAGCCAGGAATAAGCCCTGTGCACCTACTGGGTGTGGCCTAAAAGTAAAATCTAAATCACGCCAGCACATTTCTGATGCCATTCATTGTCACTGTTTTATGTCCTAGGAAGAAACGTGCTGTCACTTAAACTGTGACATGCCATTGACATTGGAAAGCACTATTGTTTTTTTGGCCACACTCGGTAGTGTTCGGTGCTTACTCCTGACTGCTCAGGGATCACTCCTTGAGGGGCCTGGGGGACCATTGTAAGGTCCCTTGGGACCCCGAGGGAGATTCCAGAGTTAAAACTCTACTAATTAGTAACTCTCCCTTTCCTGCCCCCTCCCTAGTAGAGCCTTAGCTTTGAAGCCCTTCCTTATTGGGATGTAAATTCTGAAACCATGTGTTGACTCTTCCCTGCTGGGATGTAAATTCTGAAACCATTTGTTGGCCCTTTCTGATCTGTTACCTCTGTTAGGAACTTTTCCCTTATCCACCTCCACCGGAATGCAGGGCTGAGAATCAAAGGGAGCCAGGTGATAAGCAAATGTCCGAGTTACCAGATGCCCACTAGCCACAATGCCTATGTACGTAAATGCTGATCTTTGAATCCATAGGCTAAGGAGTGATGTACTTTTAAATGGATTGGTTAAGACAGTACATGTTGTTACAAATCTATTGGCTATGAAATGCGCGGGCTTTGCTGTAACGGCCAGTGAAGGCCTATGTAAGATCCCCTTTGAAGAAGTTCCGGGTCTTGCCTCGCCAATCTGACCTGCGTGTCTGTGTAGGCGGCTTGACCCTGGCCAGCCAGTCTTACAATAAACCTTGCTTGCTGTTTGCAGTCTCTGGAGTCTCTTTGTTGTTAAAGGGAGATCACGATCCGCGTCCTAACACCATATAGGGTGATGAGGATTGAACTTGGGTTGGCTGCTTGCAAGGCAAAAGCCCTGCCTGCTGTACTATCTCTACAGTCTTGGGAAGTGTGTCAAGTTTTTA